CCCCTTGACCCAAAACTCAATAGGGGTCATCTGCTGGTCACGACCAATCATCATACAAAGTTTGAAGTTCCTAGGCCTAAGGGTTTTTAGTTAATTGATCGGAAAACCGTTTTTACCTACAAGGTCAATGTGACCTTGACCTTTGACCCCAAAATCAATAGGTCATCTGCTGGTCATGACCAATCACCATACCAAGTTTGAAGTTCCTAGGCCAAAGGGTTCTTAAGTTATTGATTGGAAAGCATTTTTTACCTACAAGGTCAATGTGACCTTGCCCTTTGACCCCTTAACCCCAATATCAATAGGGGGTCATCTGCTGGACATGACCAATCACCATACCAAGTTTGAAGTTCCTAGGCCTAAGGGTTCTTTAGTTATTGATCGGAAACCGTTTTTACCTAAGAGGTCAATGTGACCTTGACCTTTGACCCTTTGACCCAAAATCAATAGGGGTCATCTACTGATCATAACCAATCACCATATCAAGTTTGAAGTCCCTAGGCCTAAGGGTTCTATTGTTATTGATCAGAAACCGTTTTTACCCAAGAGGTCAATGTGACCTTAACCTTTGACCCCTTGACCCCAAAATCAATAGGGGTCATCTACTGATCATGACCAATCACCATACCAAGTTTGAAGTTCCTAGGCCTTAAAGTTCTTTAGTTATTGATCGGAAACCGTTTTTGCTTACAAGGTCAATGTGACCTTGACCTTTGACCCCTTGACCCCAAAATCAATAGGGGTCATCTACTGATCATGACCAATCACCATACCAAGTTTGAAGTTCCTAGGCCTTAAAGTTCTTTAGTTATTGATCGGAAACCATTTTTGCTTACAAGGTCAATGTGACCTTGACCTTTGACCCTTGACCCCAAAATCAATAGGGGTCATCTACTGATCATGACCAATCACCATACCAAGTTTGAAGTTCCTAGGCCTTAAGGTTCTTGAGTTATTGATCGGAAACCGTTTTTTCCTTACAAGGTCAATGTGACCTTGACCTTTGACCCCTTGACCCCAAAATCAATAGGAGTCATCTACTGATCATGACCAATCACCATACCAAGTTTGAAGTTCCTAGGCCTTAAGGTTCTTAAGTTATTGATCGGAAACCGTTTTTCCTTACAAGGTCAATGTGACCTTGACCTTTGACCCTTGACCCCAAAATCAATAGGGGTCATCTACTGATCATGACCAATCACCATACCAAGTTTGAAGTTCCTAGGCCTAAGGGTTCTTTAGTTATTGATCGGAAACCGTTTTTGCTTACAAGGTCAATGTGACCTTGACCTTTGACCCCTTGACCCCAAAATCAATAGGGGTCATCTACTGGCCATGACCAATCACCATACCAAGTTTGAAAGTTCCTAAGCCTAAGGGTTCTTTAGTTATCACTCGGAAACCATTTGGTCTACGGACCGACGGACCGACAAGTGCAAAGCAATATACCCCCTTTTCTTCGAAATGGGGGCATAATTATTCTTGTGGATTTTATTGTGGGAATTTATTCTAAAGTGTTCTTGGATTTAACTTGGATTTAACTGTGCTATTCAAAAAGGATCATTCCAGGATCAGACTAGACATTTGTAATTTACATTTTTATTTGGCTTTCAGGTATTTGTAAACATAATTTGTTATTTTATTTTTCTTTAATAATTTTTCTGTAATAAATTTGTTATTGTTACACGTTTGTTGCTGGCTTTTCTTTCTCGTTACGCCTGGCTCGTAACACCGTCCATGAACAGGCTCAATCAAACCGAAGCTGCATTATTGGCAACGTTGTCGTTGTGGAATTTCTTAAGGGATTTTTTATTTCTCTATTTTGTCTAACCTGAATGACGTTAGGCGGTGGAAAGGGCGACGTCTAACATGCTGGTCCATCGGATTTTGATCGAGGCTATTGGCAGGCCAGTCATAAAAATGCAATATTATTCGCCTTCAGAAAATTGAAAGTGCCCCTAGCTGTATGACGTGTAGCATTCAATTACCCTTTGATAACGTTGAGATTATTGCGAAAGCCTTGTGCAATGCATGCCAACACCAAGACAGAACTCTCAACTCTTAAAACGATCTTGTTCAAGAACAAAGCAGTAGGCAAAAAGTTAATTTCTGCAACGGTATACTCGAACCCTGCCATCAGCTCCATGAATGGAAAACCTCGAAGTTCGCTTTTTCATTGTTGTCTAACACAGCGTTGGTGTGTACGTGCCCAATTAGCTCCATGTACGCGGTGCAGAGCGCAATAATTGAATTGCTGCCCCCAAGGGCAAGGTCACACTTAAAAAAGTCAATTGTTAAAAACTCTTCATTTCATATTAAAAGTCTACATTTCATGACCGCTCCACAACTTTTTAACCACTTTAACTTTTTTTGAAATAATTTGTCACAACTAACAATAATTGGCTTGCTAACCAAAGGTCAAGGTCACACTTTAATGGATAATGCATAAAAGTCTAAATTTCGTGTCCCCTCCATAACTTTAAAACCTCTGTTTTTTAAATAGCTTGGGACAAGTGATCAACCTTATGAAACAATGTGCAGAGCGCAATAACTGGGTTGCTATCCTCAAGGTCACGGTCACATTTAAATGTCAGGTGTTTAAAGGTATACAAGTCCTAACTATCTTTCTACAAAAAACCAAAGAAATAACAACTCTCTTATGCGTTTGCGAGAGAAATGCTTATTTATTGTATGTGCACGACTAAATATGTTACATATATTTCACATTTTATGTAAACCAAAACTTAGACAATGGAGGAATACACATCCTACTAAACAGTATATATCTAATACACTGATATGAAAATAATAATCTGTATTATTATGTCTTTCAATATATAAAATTTTGATTGACAGATAGCATTATCTTGACCCTTTGCAAAATTATGAGGTCACGTTAACAAGCATGTTCCGAACAAATTTATGAAAAATGTATTTTTCACAAAATTGATCTCAAATCCGTCTTAGGAATGACAGCCGCCCACGAACAACCTAACCTACTTTGTAGGGGGAAACGTGTAGCCGTGGCATGCACGTTTAAGTTTATTTCAACGTAAAACTTTAAATTCATTCCTCAGGATAAAGGAATCACGGATCATTTCCGAACATGCTAAAAAAGAAAATCAATATCACCAAAGGTACTACACGTCTGATATATTTTTGAATTTTCCATCAGCTTCAATTAACATTGGCCAAAATGGCGCACTTTCCCATTTCGGGATAATAAGCGTACATTTCGCTTGTTCGGATTGCATCTTTTTTTATACAATCTGGCACCAGCCTTGGTGGAGGAACTAACCAATTTATATCATTACCCCAATACTGGGATAAAGCATCTACTGCCTCTGTCCGGGGAACCCACCATCGAGAATTAAACCTTAAACATTGGTTATTGAAATGTGATGCGAATCTGTCAATCGAATGCGTACCCCACCTTTTATCTATATTCTTAAAATATTGCATTCTAATTGTCCAATCATCTGAATCAAAACATCTACTTAGAAAATCGCTTTTTTCGTTTTCCTGTCTAGGAATCCATTCAGGACACACAACGATGTTCTTTTCTTCGCAGAATGAATTTAAATCTAATGCAATATTGTGCACATGAGATTTTACGACTACCGTTTAGCAAAATTGATTTGACATTTTTGTTATCAGAATACACCTTGACGTGTGAATTTTTCAAAACACTACCGTATGTTTTCATAACCCTATGTATTGCCTCTGCTTCCCGCCAGGTGGAGCTACGTTGTTTCTCAATGTCAGACCAAGTACCGATTACCTGATAATCTGATCCTATGCTAGAGAATACAGCGTCATTGTTATGTTTTGAACAATTTTGCGCCGTGCGAAAAATTAAATTGCCCTCTCTGTTGGGCACGTTTCCCACTTCCAGGGGTAAACATAAGCTTGAATCCACTTCCGGGGATATACTTCTTTTCGAAAATAGTATTTTCGAGGTTACAGAATCATACCTTGTGTCTAAATGCTCAGAATGAAAATCTGCCATTGTATCATAACCAACTTCCGGTGGCTCTGAACAGTCAACATATATTTTGTTGTTTTTCTTACATATATCATGTAATGCTTCCACGTTCTCAACATACCCACCATAACCGGACCCACTCGCGTCCGCCAAAAAATTGAACAAATAAATGTTATCATATTTGAATGATCTTCCGTTTTTGTTCAGAATTTCTGCGTTTTTAGCCCAAAACCGTAACTCAGACAATGCGTTGTCTGTTACTACTACTGGAGCGTTCCAGCTCGCTCGTGAATTAATACAATTAAATAAATGTCTTGTTAATAAGCGCACCTTATTTCCTAAAATGGTTTGCAGAGAAATTATTTGGCCAGTTATGCTGGCTAGAAACCTTACGGCGGGTACAATATTATCTTGAGTTATCTGAATTTGAAAAAGCGCAGAAGAAATAGCCTTTTCCAGCCTACGAATTCTATCGCTCGTGATATATAAATGATTTGACTTCATGTCTAACACGTGACCGAGCCACTCGATTCTTTGTACAGGGTCCCACTGACATTTTTCGTCTGCTAGAAGAAATCCGAAATCTAATAAGGATTGTTTAGTAAACGCGCTAGCAGAAACGGCTTTCTCGTATTCGTTACTTCCGCCGATACCATCGTCAAGAAACATAACGATTTTATAACCGTTTCTTCTAAGGAATGTGACTATGACTCTCAATACTTTTGTAAATATATGACCGGCTGTCTTAATGCCGAAAGGGAGAGAATTATAGATAAAATACGAGTTCTCTCCCTTTATCGAATAACTGAAACCTAGGTATGTTCGATGATTTGGAAAAATATCGACATGATGATATGCGCCCTTCAAATCGTATGTGAAAAGAAATGAATTGAGATCGAATAATGCTTCGGCTATCTTGATGTCTTCAAATTTCACTTTAAATTGATGTAAAAAAGGATTTATATATCTACAGTCAAGAACCAAACGGGGTTTGCCTTTTTTGTTATAAGCGACCGTCAGAGGATTCACAATGTAAGGTTTGCTATATACCTTAGACACAATGCCCTTTTCGATTAATGATTCGATTTCTTTTTCTACGAATACAGGATTGTCTCTTGCCGACTTATTATTTTTTATCTGAGAATTTTCCGGAATAGTTTTGAAAGGAAGCTTATAACCTTGTTCAATAACGTCTAAAATATACCTGCTATCAGTTGCTTTTTTCCACATTGGCAAATGTACCTTTTATCTACCTACTGGAGAATCCGACTTATCTACACCATTATTGAGCTTGTATACAGTACCTGTATCCATTTTAATCGTATCCGCCTTGGATTTTGGCAAACATTTTAAAACATTTAAAAAACTTATCTTGTTATTGGAAACTGCGCCTGAACATTCTGGCGAGCCTTTCCAGTGCCCCGGTTTCCCACAAGTGAAACATAACCCTGGTCTGCGCGGTGTCGACTGTGCTACTGACGTTGCCGTTGACATCTGGGAATGACCCGTAAAAGTGCTGCTTGGCTTCCGGTAAGGAGCCGTGTGTGCGCTGCGTGACTTCTTTTGCTTTTCAGCTTTAAGTTTTCTGCTCGCCCGTGTTTCAGCCTTTAACATTCTACGCTCGTCGTCTGAATCGTCGGCAAGTGGATTAGCTTCGTACTCTGTAACGAGTCTCCAACCTAGGTCTGAAGAATCAGCCAAGCGTATCAACTTTTGCCTATGAGCCACCAAGGCTTGCGCTGAAAATAAGTATAACAATGTATCAACGGGAAAATTACGGCTATAAGATAGCCGCTGAAGATGGCCTATTGATATGAAGCACGATTGTATAAAATACAAATATCTAATCATGTATGATGATAACGACAAAAAAACCGTTACAGAAAATAATAATTTTACGAATATATTTGTCTTCGTAATACTGACAATACAATAACGGTATATACATCAAACATTAGAGATGCTTAAAGAAATGGTTAACGTCTGTATTTCTATCAATCAATATTGCTAAAATATGCATAGCTTGCAACAAAAATATTTTGTTAAACGACTGTAAAAATTAAGAACCAAAGTGAATGATTTTACCGACCTTCTGCAATTTTTTGCCTTGCCTCGTCGGTTCTCTCGGACACTGCGGCTTGTTCGGCCTCTTCGAGTGCCATGCTTACTTTGCTATTGTAGTTAAATTGTTCCTCGTTCGACTTTCTCTTGAAATTTGGAACGCCAGAGACAATATAAGAAAATTGACTCAATTGATTTGGAGAACTTTTAGAACTTATCTTTTCCATAAATGTCTCCATATCCCGCAGCATTGATGTTTTATGCTCTTGAAGAGACAGTCTTAAACGTTCGTCGACAATCTCTTGAATATTTTCAATGTGATGTTCATCCATAGTGGAGTGTATTGGTTTCGTGCACGATGTTGCCACGTAGAAAATCTCGCTAGAACTGATTTTAACAATCAATACCCGCCAAACATAAACTCTTATTCACGAACCGTGACAAACCGGTTTTGTTATGCAATGTCCGTAAGGACAATAGTACTCAACTATACGATGTAACGTTGAGTACTTAAAATTCGTGTCCGCTCCATAACTTTTAAACCGCTGAATTTTTAAATAACTTGGCACAAGTAATCACTATAATGGGCCAATGTGAAGAGCTCAAAAATGTGTTGCTACCCCAAGGTCAAGGTCACACTTCAAGGTCGAACGTTAATATGTCCTCATTTCATAATTTCGTGACCGCTCCATAACTTTTAAACCACTGAAAACATGTTTAAAATAACTTGGCACGAGTGACCACCATTATGGAAGACGTGCAGAGCGCAATAATTGAATTGCTACACACAAGGTCAAGGTCACACTTACAGGTCAAATGTTAAAAAGTCTGCAGTTCGTGTCTGTCCATATCATTTAAACCGCTGCATTGTTATTAAGATAACTTGGCAGAAATGATCACCATTATGACGTCATTGGAAGATCACAATATCAAGTCACAACTCTGAAGGTCAGGGTCACACCCAAAGGTCCAATGTAGATACATTTATTTTTCATGTCCGCTCTCAACTTATTGACAATTCAAAGGTCTTAAAATTACTTGGCACAAATGATCACCACCATGACATAAACTGCAGATCACAACATACAGGTTGCTACCCCCAAGGTCAAGGTTATATGTTCTCCATAACGATTTTTACTTTATAGAAGATTTTGAATAGCATGAAACAAATAATTACCATCATGAGACTATATGCTTATGATAAGCATGGCATAACATCAAGGTCGTGGTTGGTAAAATGTCAAGCAGTACACATTCATATTCACTGCGGAAGGGGATTAATCTTATTGACATGAAAGTACATAAATTTACAATGAAATGTTTCATAAAATATACACGAGTTTAATGATCCGTATGCATGCACATTCAGGGGGTTTCTCCAGCATAACGAGTTAAAATTGAGTTAGAATTTGTTTTATCGATTCGATTTACATAATCGTTTGCCCGAATATATGTAACTAATTTGACATTTTGATTTTTTTAAGTAGCACCACATCTATAAATCCTAACGCATTGTGTAAATAACAATGCATTTTTCGGTAGATCATATGAAAAATGGAACATTTTGGTGTCTGTTGGTATTGGTCATTATATTACAACTCAAATGTGAGATAGTTTTCTACATTTTTCACGATGATACACTTGTGCGCCGATGTATTTGAACGACTTGCAAAACAATATGACTTGGCGATAATTT